GCAGAGAAGCAGAATATGTATGTATGTATGTATGTATGTATGTATGTATGTATGTATGTATGTATTGATATGTACATATTGATATGTATGTATGTATGTATGCATGCATGTATGTATGCATGTATGAAATTTATATGCCTCCTATCTCACTATCACATCTCTGGCTACACTAGGAGTTATCATCACTAAGAAGCGCACATTACGGAATGGAAATAGCCCAACACTCCATTTCTCCAGGGTAGTCACTCTTCTCTGATCCCGGTCCCAAATTACATCACTGTCTTGAGTTCATTCTCTGTTCTTTCTAATATTTAACGTAATATTTAAAACATGTGAGTGTGGTTTGCTAGAGTAATAATTCTTCATAATTTACTTTGTCACTTTGACTAGAATGGTCTTCTGCAACCCGGTGTCTTCCACATGTGTTGGGCTACACCTACTGAAGATGATTTTTACCCAAATATTCTGAGTGGGAAAAAGTAGATCTTGTGCTTGTGGCAGGAAGGCTGGCGATCCTTTCATTATTATGTGCAAATTTATATCTGCTTTTTCTTTAGAACAAAGCAAACTCAAGGAGATCTGGAAGGCTGCTGCACAGAACGGAAAGTCGTCAAACTTAGTACCAGTAAATCCAGTGGGACAGTCCAAGTAAGTTGATGAATTTTTGGTTTTCAAGTTTCCCAATTGGAGGGCAGCATCAGGTTAATTTAAGTGGGCTGGAGAGCAGAGTTTGTGCAAATGCTGATTGATTTTGTACCAGAGGGAGTTGCATAAACACTTAGCTCCATCTCTAAGTTAAAATATTTGGTCTCCAACAGCAAAATTTCTGAAACTGACTCTGAGGTTAAAAGAAAATCAAGAACAGGTAGCAAACTGGGGTTTCAAAGAATTAGCTTATGGGAATTAAAACCACATAAGGTGACGATACCATAATCTCAGAGGCTTTCGAAAGGTTGTTGAAAAGGAGGAGGAAGAAGAAGGTGGGATCAGGTCAAAGTTGTTCACCATGATGGCTAAGCAGATTATAAATCACAAGCAGATCATCCCCGCAAGGTATGGAGAAGGGAAAGGCTGTGGAGTGCACACAATGTTTTTGTGTGCTTCCCAAGAACATCCAGTTAGTCACTGTGAAGAACAGGATGTGGGATTAATATCAACCTTGACATGCGTCCAAATTCTAATGACTGGTCAAGTTATTTTGACAAGCCACTTAATCCTTTCCTTGTATTTTGCTTTTTCTTATCCCAGGAGCTAAAGGAAACATTGACAAAGACAACTAAGAATTCAAAACAGCTCCTAAGCATAAGACTGAAGTGTTGCGTGGGGACAGGAAAACATTCACCTCTGTGGAAAAAGACTTCAAGCAGTAATTGAAGAGGGAAGGCCTGGAAGAGCTTTGGGGCCAGTGAAGTGGATCTCAAGTTGGGATCCTGCCCTCTTCTATAACATAACTGACATTTAATTCTAGCTCTGTCTTGCACACTGATGTCTTTTACTGATCCAACGTTGGCTTCCTTCAGTATCTTTGGGTTCATTCAAATATCTTACTCCTTCGTCGGGTTGAGGGTCCATTGCAGTGGTGGGTTGCCAATTTTTTTACTACCGATTCAGATGCGCCCATGCTTGTGACGCTTCTGCGCATGGGTGCACCTGAACCGGTAGTGGGTGGCAGAGCCTCCCGCCACCACTACTACCAGTTCGCCCGATCCAAGCCAAACCGGGAGCAACCCATCTCTGGTCCCATTGGTGAAAATTCCACATCAGTCCTTCTGTCTCAGGTCTCTTTACTTGTTGAGTTATGGAGAGGATTGAATGTAATCCCTGTGACATCAGCCCGATGAGATATGAATGCAATCAGTCAATATTTTCATTGTGATTTCATGCCGCTACTACATTTGTTCACAACGAAAGCAGAAAGGATGGAAATTGTAAATGCACTCTTGAGTGTTAGGAGTTAGTGTTCCTGCAGTTTTGTAAGATACTGTGGCATATTTATGTATATAGCTTTTTGTAGGCATGCACACATATATTGGAGAAGTTGTGTTTCTCTTGATTATTAGCTGGGCGGATGGTCCCCTGTTCACCACTGGCATCTGATTATCCAGTCCACGCTAACTCTGTGAGTATCCCACTAAAGTTGATTACAATTACTGTATGTCTGATAACAAGAGTTGAAAAACTCTTTCTCTACACTGAAGCTCTGAAGAACTAAAAAACAAACAAACCCTAAAACGTACCAAGCAAAGTAGATTCATAGTCTGTGAGTGATAACAGCTCTCTCTCTTGATATCGTTTTGTTTTGGCCTTTTTGGAGGCATCTTGCTAGCCTGTTTAGAAACAATATCGTGGTCTGTAGATCTTGGACAGTAAACACATCGTGCATTTGTTCTATTACAATAACGAATCGTTTTGTGGAGATCAAACTGCTATTCACAAAATATATTCCACTCAAATGATGAAGAGGAGCAATGTGGGCTATGGAAGGTGCACAACTAATAAACATCATATGAAAATGTAGCAGGAGTAGTGTTTGATTTGGATAACAGCTGTTGTTTTTATTTCTTTTAACACTCCTTGGAAAGTGGGCTGTTTATGAGAAGGAATAAGGGTGATCTAACCTTACTTCGCTTTGGTCCACTTCTTCACTTCCCACCCACAAAAATCTCGTGGTGCAGGATAGAGTTTCAGTTTTATGCTGGCAAGCAACATTTCTCAGAGAGAAATTATAGCAATATAGCAATAGCAGTAGACTTATATACCGCTTCATAGGCCTTTCAGGCCTCTCTAAGTGGTTTACAGAGAGTCAGCATATTGCCCCNAGTTTAGCAATTGTTCTGTACCAAATATCAGCCTTTCTAGTGATAGTTTTTTGTGTGTGCAAAAGAAAGGCACCCTTGCATGTAAGCAGGGGAAATGAATAAAAACATGATGTGGTTGTAGTACTTCTTTATTTGTGTCCTAGAGGTTTATCCTGCATTTATTACAGGTAATCCTCGAGTTATGAGTACAACTGCACTCAAAAATTTCCATTACTAAGTGAGACATGTGTTAATTGAATTTTTGCCCCATTTTATGACATTTCTTGCCACAGCTGTTAAGTGAATCACTTCAGTTGTTAGTAACGTGGTTGTTAAGTGAATCTGGATTCCTCTTGACTTTGCTCGTCAGAAAGTCACAAAAGGTGATCACATGACCCCGGGATGCTGCAACCGTCATAAGTATGAATCGGTTGCCAAGTGCCTGAATTTTGATCACGTAACCATAGGGATGCTGCAATGGGAGTAAGTGTAAAAACCAGTCATAAGTCACTTTTTTCAGTGCTGTTGTAACTTAGAACAGTTCAACAACTTTGAACTGTTGTGAGTCGAGGGCTACCTGTACCTTTTCAGTAACTCAAGGAGGTGATCATGAATAATACAAGTATAGGTAGCCTTCTACTTACGACCACAATTAAGGCCAAATGTTATGTTGCAAAGCAAACAGAATGACACTATTACATCGTCGTGGACAAATCATCATTTGGCTCCCCATTTACCTCCCCTCTGTGTTTTAAATGACAAAGACATATGTGTTACCTTGACATTTATTAGATTATATATAGTAGCATAATATGATATTCTAAACATCAATGAACTGTAACTAACAAAATCTTATCTATAGATAAGCGAAATCACGAAATCTCCAGAATCGTAAAACCTACAAACTTGAAATTTGGCACGTATATTCCTCTTGGCTTCTAGGTGCCTGCTAATAAAGGACTGTTTGGAATGACCATCAGATCATTAGTACTTCTAATATTATTATTAACACGCTCAGATGTTAAAGAGCTAGATGTTCTACTCTCCCTCCCCACCTGAAAAGAACTCTGTTCCAACTGCCACTTGCACATGGGCATGGCCAGCACGTGACTCCTCTGGTCTGCAGGCTTTGTCTAAACTCTACTCCCCCTCCCCACCTGGAAAACGCTCTGATGCTAAGGAGTTAGACATTCTACTTCCCCACCCCACCTGAAAGGGAGAGGACGGGATAACATAGGAGAGGCTTCTGTGGGGCAAGCTTGAGGGAGAGGGGAATAGGAGAGGATCAATGGGACCAGCCTGAGGGAGAGAAGGGGAATAGGAGAGGATCAGTGGGACAAGCCTGAGGGAGAGAAGGGGAGAGGAGAGGCTTCTGTGCGGCAAGCCTGAAGGAGAGAAGGGGAGAGGAGAAGCCTATCTTAACTACTCATTAATGTTCAAGCGTTAACTGTCAATTTATCAAGCCCGATCACATGGTTCCGTAGCGAAGCAAGAGTATCCAACTAGTACAATATATTGGCGAAACCATTTCTATATGGTACAGATAGCCCTTGACTTACAATCATTCATTTAGTGACCAAAGTTACAATCGTAAGGAAAAAATGACTTAGGACCTGACCTTGCACTTACGACCATCATAACATCCCTCACGGTCACATGATTAAAATTTGGACGCTTAGCTACCACCATGTGTTTAGGATGGCTGCAGCGTTCCAAGATCATGAGATCACCATTTACGGCCTTTCCCGCCATAGTTCAATAAGCAAAGTCAATGGGGGAAACTGGATGCACTTAATGACTGCATGATTCACTTAACAACTGCAGTGATTTCCTTAATGACCATGGCAAAAAAAAGGCATAAAACCAGGTGCGATTTGCCTAGCATCTTACTTAGCAATGGAAATTCTGGTCCCAACCTTGGTTGTAAGTCAAGGACTACCTATAAATACTTCTGAGTGATGCTTGACTCCTGATAACTGCATAATCATGGCCATTGGCAGCAGTAGTTCTTGACTTACAACAGCTAATTTAATGACCGTTCAAAGCAGTGGTGGGTTCTGGATCCACATGGGCGCACACATGCGTCTTGCCGCCTCCACGAGCCTCGGTGACGCTCCAGCTGCTCAGCAGAGTGTTGCACAGGTACTGTACGCCTGTACCAGGGTGTACAGCCTGCAACCTACCACTGGTTCAAAGTTACAATAACACTGAAAAAAGTGACCTATGGTCTTTTTTCACACTTACAACCATTGCAGCATCCCCCTTGTCACATGATCAAAATTCAGACTATTGGCAACTGACTCATATTTATGACTGTTGCAGTGTCCCTGAGTCATATTACCACGTCTTGCGACCTTCTAACAAGCAGAAGTCAGTGGGAAAACCAGATTCACTTAGCAACTGTGTTACTATCTTAACAACTGCAGTGATGCACTTAACAACTGTGGGAAGAAAGATCGTAAAATGGGGCAAAACTCAATTAACAACTGCTTTGCCAAGCAACTTTTTTTTTGTTTTGCTCAATTGTCATCGTAACTCAAGGACTACCTGTATGGAGTTAGTTTGCTACTGTTTTTCTCAATTTTCTAGTCTAGAGATTTCCTGGTGGTCTTCCATCAAACTACTATCTAGGTTCAATCCTGCTTACCTTTTTTGATATCAGTTAGATTAGCTGGATTTTGAAACCATCCACTTTAGGACGACAAGTGCCATGTTTCTATGGTTTTTGAAATTATATCTACACCAGATGAATTTCCCCATTCTTTCCCATGAGCTACTAGTGTTTTCTAGTTTCTTATCCACCCAAAAATCAACTTCAAAGTGGGTCAGTCTTTGGTGACTTCACTTCCTTCACATTTATGGTGAGGTACTTTATAAGGTAAAGTACCTTACAATAAATGTAAGGATGCGATGGCTCAGTGGCTAAGACGCTGAGTTTGTCAATCAGAAAGGTCAGAAGGTCGGCAGTTTGAACCCCTAGTGCTGCATAATGGAGTAAGCTCCCGTTACTTGTCCCAGCTTCTGCCAACCTAGCAGTTCGAAAGCACAAAAATGCAGGTAGAAAAATAGAAACCACCTTTGGTGGGAAGGTAACAGCATTCCATTTGCCTTCGGCATTTAGTCATACCGACCACATGACCATGGAGACATTTTCAGACAGCGCTGGCTCTTCGGCTTTGAAATGTAGATGAGCACACACACCCCCTAGAGTTGGGAATGACTAGCGCTTACGTGCGAGGGAAACCTTTACCTTTGCCTTATTTATAAAATCAGCAAAAGGAAGATTTATCTCTAGTTACACCTGTTCTGGAAGGAGTCTAGAAATAACTGCTTGACCTTTAGGATGTGAAGTTATTTGAAGTCAAGTCAAGGCAGGGAAATAAGGATGGGGGACATGAAATGCAAGGATTTAGAGGAAACCATGGTAATAGGTGTGGTACAGATTAAAGAATTCCCTGAAAGAATGGGATACCTAATCCAATTTTAATTTTAAACTGGGACTACACTTTTCTCAACCGGCTCTTTCGTGGATCCAGCCACTTTTTCAAAATCTTTTACTGAAAAGTAACTACCCGCCACCGAGTTAGGAAACCCATTAAAAACAGGCCCCTGAAGTATCATTTTTAAAGAAGAGAGAAACCTCCAAATTGCCCCCATCATGCAAGCTTCGTAAAACTAATTTGTCTGGTTCATCCTCACAAGGTGTGACAGACACAAATAGAGGACATTTTGATTATGAAAAGTTCAGTATTGCAGTAGACAGATCTATCCTCAGCTATTTATAGGAAGTAGAACATCCATATTCAAAGGCAGCCAATCTCTGAACTCCTCAGATAGGGTGACAAAAATATCTTCTTTTGTCGCCATTGCCATTTTAATCGCCATCATGGATTTACTGTTTGATTTCGATTCTGGGCTCTGTCCTAATTTAACCTCCTTTACTTAACTGGCTGCTTTATCTATTACCCTCTTTTCGCTGTTCTTTTATTTCAACCTCTGCTAAAAACAACAACAACCCAGTAATAGCCATGACTAAATACGTTAATCTGGATGAAGTGTGTGTAGACCGCGAGGGGGCCAAATCCAATGTATATTTGGGAGAAATCATCTCAGATCCTGTGTGCTGTTATGGAGAACCGGGAAAGTATGACCAGTTCTTGCCAGGGGATCCCAATTCAACCCCGGGCACCTTGCTGACAGATGGCGCTCGGGAGTCGCAGGCCAACCTGATTATTAAACGGCTCTTCGCTTTCCCCCCTCCTTTGTCCCTCCGTCTGCGCGCTGGCTGGCTCCGAGGCGCTTTGGGGCGCTGGATGCGTTAGGAAGGGCCATCCGGGGCAGGTGCCGCTCACCTGGGCCGAGCAGGGAAGCCCCCTTTCGGGCGTCCGTTGCTCCAGCCCGGCCCTGATGGCGCGCCGGCTACCGCTTCAGCCCAGCTCCGGTCCTGCGCTCGCCACCCTCCCGTCCTGGCGGCTGTGAGACCAGCCCCGGCTGCTTTCTTGGCTCGAATGAGCCGCCCGCATCCCGACGCCGCACTGCGATGCTGTTTTCCTGGCGCAGCCCTCAACCTTGAGCTCGGGAGCCACGATGCCAGAGACTGGGGCGGCAGGACCGGCGGCGAGCGGCCAGGAGAACAAGCGAGGCGGAAGCGCGATGGATGGGGAGGCGGCCGCGCCACCTGCCACCGGGGTCCTGGGTGAGTAAGCGCTGCGCCCCCCCCCCCGGGGGACCGGTTGTCCCGGGCCGTGGGGCGGCGATGGCGGCGGGTATGGTGGGTAGAGAAGGATCGCACCGGCGGCTTTTCCGCCGATGTTGCCAAGCGCGGACTTTTGTCGAAGTTGGGGAAGACCGGAGGGCGGCTGCGTCCCTCCCACGGTGGAAGAAACACCGGCTGCGGGGCGCCGGCTTGGAAGCCGCGCCTGTGCGAGCGTGGAAGGGGCTGCAGTCGCGCCGCCGCCAGTCTATTGTCTGGCAAGCGGGCGTGACTCCCCCGACCCGAGAGCCCACCGGCTTCAGTCGACAGATTGCGCGGAGTGGGGTGGGGAGGGAGGCCGTCCTCGAAAGCCTGGTCGGGAGTGGCTGGACACGACGCCCGCCGCTCAGATACGGGCGCCTCGTGGAATTGTAAGGCGAGCGTCCGGACCTGACCCCCCCCCTCGCGTCTCCTCCGGAGGTCAGCCGGTCTTCGGGGTGCAGGTGGGAGCGACCCTCTTCCGCCCCTCCGAAATTTCCGTCCCGCCGGCGGAGGCCGAAGGAGACCGGCCCTGCAGGTCCACTGCGGCGGAGGCCGTCCGCGCCGTGGCTTTGGATGATGCCGCCATCGGGTGGGGGGAGGCTGCTTTCGGCGTGGCCATGGCGAGGGGACCTTAAAGGTCGCGCGGCGAGGGACACTAAATTAACAGATGGACAGAGTTGGAAGGGACCTTACAGGTCATCTAGTCGAACCCCCTGCCTCGGCTTCTCCCAAACCCGGGCTTTCTAGACGCCCTGGACGTGGGCTGCGGGTGATGGGAGTTGTAGTGGAGCGTGCCTGGAGAGCGCCTGCTTCGGAACGATGGTGCGAAGGAGCCTGAAATATTTCTTGAGCTGGTGCCGAGAGAAAACCCAGCTCTTGTAAGGGAGGGGGGGGGGAACGGGACTAGGTTTGGGAAGGAGACCTCTCCTCTCACCTTGTACAGGGCGGGGCATAACCTTTTCCTAGGGGGTCACAGCAACACTTGTAATAACAACACAAATAATTCATACACCATTCAAAAGCCCATCAAAAACTGAGTTTATTGACATGATTTAATAGTCAGTATGACCACCATTAGCCCTTCGAACAGCATTCAAACGAGGTGGATAAGAACACAACAAATCTTCAAACAGTTCCGTTCGATTTTCCAGATTTTTCAACACAGTTTCCAAATTCATTCTCAAAGTTTCAACCTAATATCGACACCTCATTTTAAAGCCCATAAAAAACTGAATTGAATGAGCTATTAAATGTTAAATTTGTTTCGGTTGAAACTTTGAGAATGAATTTGGAAACTGTGTTGAAAAATCTGGAAAATCGAACGGAACTGTTTGAAGATTTGTTGTGTTCTTATCCACCTCGTTTGAATGCTGTTTGAAGGGCTAATGGTGGTCATACTGACTATTAAATCGTGTCAATAAACTCAGTTTTTGATGGGCTTTCGAATGGTGTATGAATTATTTGTGTTGTTATTACAAGTGTTGCTGTGACCCCCTAGGAAAAGGTTATGCCCCACCCTGTACTTGTCGGAAACCTCTGGCCAGAGTGAGGTTGTCTCCACCCTCATCATTCTTCCCCTTTTGGCCCATTTTGGATAGAAAGGGACCCGGAGAGTTTAGTGTGTGGGTGCACATATGTGAGAATATTGGAGCACCTAGAGTTCACATACCGCTTGATATTTTAAAATTTCTCCAAAAGAGACTAGGCGCCGGTCCTGCAGTCCCAGTGACCTGCCCTATGTGCAACAGGGTTTATGTTCTTGGCTAGTTTTGCCTCAGTACAGTTTAGATACAACTTACACACAACACACACACACTTACACTTGTCACATCATGTTTTTATATAAGAGTTCTTCCAGGAGGATAAGCGGGATATAGAACCAACAAGTAAAGCAAAAAGACATTATTTCTTTCACAGGCCAAATCTTTTTTTCACAGGCCCAATCTTTCTTCAAGATTAGCAGTGGAAAAACTTGGGGCAAATCTGCGGGAATTATCTGTTTGAAATATGATCCCCCTCCCCAAATATGAATTGAGAATCCTTGTAAGAGAAAAGTGCTTGACAAGAGGCAGATCTTTGTGTTGGATGGGTCACTTGGCATGTGTGTCCACTGCCTTCCTGGATAGCTAATTCCCATGGTTTTAATGAAGCTTTTCCTGATCTGTTGCCCCTTAACTTGGTTGAATTTGTGCCTTAATTCCCAACTAGTAAGGTTTAAGGTATTGGACTTCAACTCCCACAAATAGTAGCCAGTACTGTACTGAACGGAAATCCATAATTAAAGCTGAGCATATGGATTGGATTCATAAACTTAAACCATATTTTTAGCCATAATTTATTGCATAAAACACACTTGGCTGGTTTCGCACAATACATTAAATTATTAAAAACGGTGTGCTAAACCACTAGTAGTTTTAACCATTATTAGTTGCCTGAGCCACAGTGGATGGATTCTTACAATGTATTAAGCCCTAAGCTACGGTTGACAAGCTGTAATTGTGCCTTATATCTGAAAACCCAAAACCTCACAATTATGTTATGGTTTAGTGTAATATGTGTCTAGAATCTTCATGTGACCAAATTTCATTAAATTGCCTAAGCAATTTAAGAAAGTATTTTTTTTATCCCTGTCCCATTAAATAAAGGAAATTCTAGCAATACTAAATAGCTATTTCTGAGGACAGAGCCTCAGTGGGAGCTATATTAGAAGCTTTCTCTTACCCACCCTATATTTTTCCCCTAGTAATTTTTCATCCCACCGAAGTCCCAGCATGTAGTTGGCTCTGTGAGTTAATGAAGGAACGGCAAAACTATTGTCCCTGAATAAAACAGTATAGAATCAAGCAAGATAAAAAGAAGTATGATCTCTTAGGCAGGGATTTTGAACCTGAAAATGGTTGTTTGAACAAAAAAACAACTTGCGATATTTGAAAAAATAAGTTTTGCAGTTGTGCCTGTAAGTATGTGCACTCTTGCAGATTAATTGAATTCTCCAATTCTTTGGATTGATTTGGCCCAGAAATACATCTTATTAGTATATAAATTAATGTCACAAGCGAAATCTATTGGTGCAAATAGGAGAAAGCTCTCATTACCTAGATTCTAGCTACTTAAAAGTAGAAAATGCTTAATTGGTCAAATAAAGTGGAGCAGCTGTACTGACGGGCTATGCTGATTTTAACCTTGTGTAACATTTTAGCAGCTTAGTGTTTTGTCAGAATCCTAGCCTTTTGGTTCAGTTTTGATTCAATATATAGTGTGAATCCTGAAAATGAGTTAACTCTGGATTCAGATGAAGCACGTTGTATGAATCCAGCTATGCTCTAGAGACTTTGCATTGAAGTCTGCTGACATACGTGAGAGTACGTGCACGTGCATATATTCTCACTGTAGTGCCAACCTCAGCCCACACTACAGCTGTGCCAAGGAGACTTTGGGCACCCACAATGCCCAGCCTGTTTCTTTCATTGCCTGGAGTCAGCGCCCACAATCAGCAAAGACAGGATTCCTTTGTCAGAATCCCAATTCATTTTGGATTGGCTGAGATGGGGGAATAATTTTTCAATCTTGTATCATTTCATCCTTCTCCCAGAATTTTTCCAACAAGTGGAGGCTGAAGTTCTGAATCTGTTTCATTGAGGTTGTGTAACTTCTTAGTGTAGCCTAATAGAAAAACTTGAGCAAACTGTTAGTATGGGGAAGAAGAGACAGACACCCTGAAAATTAGGAAAGGAGAAATGGGGGGTTGGTATTTTATGCAGCAAATATTTATAGCCTGGTTCTTTCCCCTTTATTTTGTAGTATTATGCTGTAGACTACTCTTGCATAGGGAGGTTCCATGTGGGTTAGATATCCTGAGGAAAAGCTATAACACCTTAATTAAATGGATCAGACCAAAGTATGAGATCCTGCTTTTGATAATAGTTAATTCCCCCCCGCCCTCAATAGCTGATATTCCAGAATGAAATATAGGATCCATCCTTCACAACTTTAAAAGCAAGGTCTTCTAGATATATTGGATAACAATTCCAATTCCAATATAAGTTAAGTGATTTTGTTGTTGTTGTTGTTGATTTTATTTATATGCTGCCCTTTTCCCCCGAAGGGGACTCAGGGCGGCTCACAACTCAAACCAGGGAAGGGGGGATACAGACAAAATTAAAAACAACACAAAACAATGCATGGTTTAAAACACACAGCAGTCATACCATTCGAGACGGGGGCAACGGTTCTTTAGCCCCAGGCCTGTCGGAACAGCCAGGTTTTAAGGGCTTTGCGGAAGGCCTGGAGGGTGGTGAGGGTTCGAATCTCCACGGGGAGCTCGTTCCAGATTTGTTTTCTAGCACATCTAGAGGGCACCAGATGGGGAAGGTTTGGCCTAAAGCCGTGGTGGCACACGGAGCCATATCTGAGGGCATGCGAGGTGTTGCCTTACATCAGCTCCAGCATGCATGCGTGCGCTGACCAGCTGATTTTGGGCCTTCCAAAGGGCGGGGGAGGCCATTTTCACCCTCCCCAGGCTTCAAGAAAGTCTCTGGAGTTTGTGGATGGCAAAAACCGGCCCAATGGGCCTACGGAAGTTTGTTTTTCACCATCCACAGGCTCCAGAGGCTTTCCTGAAACCTGGAGAGGATGAAAAACAGTCCAACGGGCCTACTGGAAGTCTGGAGGCTTTACTGAGGCTTGCACGGGGAATGGAGTGCCCGGGGGGGAAGGGGTGTTGTGCGCACATACACCGGGCAGGGGAATTGCACTATGGGTATGGTCACACACCCTTTTGGCACCCGAGCAGAAAAACGTTCACCATCACTGGCCTAAAGGATTCCAAAAGATCTGCCAAGTTAAAATCTACATAACACACAAAGAACATTTACTCCATCTGTAAACAGGATGTCTTGCATCCTGTTTCCAAAATGACTTGCCAGATGCCTCCAAGAAGCCCATCGGCAAGACATGAAATT